GGCCGAGGCGGGGCGCGGGCTGCACCCGGCAGGGGCCCTCTGGCCACGGCGCCCCGCACCCACCTGCTCCGCGGCTGCATCCAGCATCCCCTCCTCTCGGGCGTCCTGGGAGTGGGCTGGGGGGCCTCCCCCTGCCGGGCCTTGGCCGGGCTGTGAGGCCCCCGGGGTCCCGTCCCGCTGCGGCTCCGGCTGCTGTGTGGGCAGGGGTGGCGCCTTCACACCCGAGAATCCCCTCCTTCCTTTCGGGGGGCCCTTCTGGGTATCTGTGGTGGGAGGTTCCAAGGCAGGAAGCAGGTTTTTGGTGCTGGTCAGTGTCAGGCAGAGGCCACTGGCCTCAGGCCCCTCTGGCAGGAGCCGGGGGTAGGTCTGCACTTTCCGCAGGTGGCCCCGCTCCAGGAAGAGGGGCTCCAGGTCCCCCCGGTGGTGCGGGGTGTCCAGGAGGAGGCTGGCCAGCTCGCCCAGGCCATGACTCTCGCCATTCCTCACGGGGGTGGACAGCAGAGGCTTGGCAGGAGTGGTCTCGGCCGGCTCTGGGCACGTGGGGGCCCATGGCGGTCTCTCTGTGCTGGGCGGGTTCCCGGGGTCCCCAGGCTGCCTCCTGGGTCTCCCCCGCCAGGCGCTCTCGCTGACATCTGTGCAAAAGCAGGTGGTCACTGCCAGGGGCCGCTGAGGGGGACACCGCCCCCCCAGCCCAGCAGCCCTGCCCCTGCCACTCCTCCCCCAAGCCCACCACCGTGTGCCCACACGTGCCCGTGAGCCGCTCTGGGGCCTCCTGAGGAGGTGCCCCGCCGGGCATCCCAGACACTGGTCCATCTGTAGGCAGCGCCCCCTCCTGGGGACACCCCAGCATTCCGCCAGGATCCGGGAAGGCCCTCCTGGGCAGGACAGGGGTGAGGGAGCACAGCTGCTGGCTGAGGACCCCCTGCTGGCCCCTGCCGGCCACCCTGGATCTCTGGGCCTGGTGGGGGAGGGGGGGTTGTGTGGGGGTGGGGGCGTATGTGGGGGAGTGGGGTGCACGCAGGTCAGTGAGCAGCGAGCTCCGGTGGGCTCACCTTGAAAGGCGCCGAAGGACTCGATGGACAGCACCCTCCTTCCCGCGGCCGACAGGGTCCGGCACAGGCGGCAGGACGAGGCCAGCGGCACCTTCTGCTCGCACAGCGCGATGACGCTCTGCGGACCCGCCGCAGCCTCAGCGCGGGGACCCCACCCCGCAGCCTCAGCGCGGCCTCCCCCTTCCTGCCGGGCGTCTGGCCCCGGATCTTGCCACAAACGAAAACCAGTATGACGGGGAGGGATTCTCCGCCAAGCAGGCCTGGGCGGGCGGGGGCGAGGGCTACCTGCAGTTCCGGCCGGTCCCCAGGGTCCTCCGCCTGCATCTGGCTCAGCAGGGCCTCCAGGTCGCCGCTCAGCCTGGGCCCCGGCTCGGGCCCCGCGGGGTACTCCAGGGCGGCCTTCAGCGTGGCCCCCAGGGAGTAGATGTGGGCCTGCGGGGAGCCC